GTTACAGGAAGTCTGAAATTCATAACAGGTCGTTTTCTCGTTACCAAATCTGCTGTTAGAATCTATGGAGCTTTTTTCTTATATATATTCAGTTCTTTTACACTTACTCGCACAAATAACATTCGATGGGCACACCAAATTTCGCAACTTCCACATTTGAATCAAATCCATGTTTTTGGCTACCAACTACTTATGTCTTCATGCACACCTTCTTTTTTCCCATCGTCAATTGAGATTTACTGTAGGTCCATCAAATTTTTTCAGGTAACGACTATATGTTTTCAAAAGTTAATCTTCTTTCCAAATTTTTTTTTATTTTTTTTATTATTTATCGTCACGGAAGTTGCTTTTCTGAAATTATTTGTCACAGAAACTGAAACTATTTACCCAAAATCACAATTTTGTACAGGCAAACAATGTTTAAATGATTAAATCTACTGTTCGTTTCAAAAACTTCATAATCCCGGTACCAAAGTTTCATTGTTTCCTCGACTGAATCGGTTCTTTTTTTCTTTGAAAATCAAATTTGAAACTTTACCATTAAATTTCAACAATTTATTTTCTCTCGATAATGGGAAACGATAGCTTTAGTCTGGGTGTAAACAAAATTGGAGACTATGACTGATGTCTTTCATCATCGGTTGATTTAGGCAGGGTGAGGAGGTTCAAATCTTAGGAGAGCATACTTCTATTTTCTGCTTATACTATTTTTTTTTAAATTTCATTTTCGAGGAAACCACAATTTCTGAGGAAAGGGAAAAAAAAAGTAAGAGAAGATAGTAAATTTCTCGAAATGGAATTTTGCGAAAAAAACCAAATCTTGGCTAGTATGCTAAGAAGGTGTGGTTTATTCTGGAAACCAAGTTCAAACTCCGTCTGGAACTGTAGTTGTTCATTTTAAAATCATAATGATTATTATATTCACGGGGTGTTGGAGCCTTTTTTTTCGTTTGAAAATTTCACTTGAATCACCACAATTTGGTGTCTTGTAACTGTGTTTACTTCTGTCTAACGATTATTGTCTTGAAATTATTCTACTTGAGTTTATTCGGCCTTTCTAAATGACTAATTTATTTCTATATAATAAATTCGAATGTCAGTTTTTTGTTTCACTGTGTCTGTTATTTTCAACGTTACTATTTCGTTTTAGGTTTCTTGTTTTTTAGTTTTTTCTTTTCTTTTCCTTAATTTCCTTCTTTTCTTTTCTTCCGTTATCTTTTATTCTTTGTTTATATATTTTTCTTTTTTCTTTTCTTTTTTATTTTTTTTTAACTTTGTTTTCATTCTTTATAACCTTATTTCTTTATTTCATTCATTTTCGTTCTTTTCCTTTTCATATTTTCTTAATATTTTTTTTTTTGGAAGTTCAGGATATTTTCAATCGTCTCTTTTCTGAAATATTAGAAATTAAAAACATTTGGTAAATCCTTGAAATTTTGAATCGGTTCCCTCAAAATCAAATTACCATTAACTTCATTCCATTGATTTTTGGCTTTTACTGATTCTATCTTCATTCTCATAAAATTAAATTTCATTTTCGAGGAAAACCACAATTTCAAGTAAGAGTATCTAAATTTTTATCTTGTAATTCTATCTTGTAAAATCATTATTATTTCATAAAAACTTGACAAAAAATGTCAAATTCTATAATAAATGCGAAAGTGTGTCACTGTGTCATTTTCAATCTTTGTACCAAAATAAATACCAAAATCAGGTCCGTGAGCAAATTAAAAAAACATTTGGCCTTGAAACATATATTACTGCCATTTTGGATAAAAAATCATTCAAGGGACACAACTCTCTAACTTTCAATAGCTTATGTAAATTAAATCTTTACTCCACATTCAGGCTCTGTGGATCCAGACCGATCCAACTCCTTAAATTTTGGATTCCCAAGATTTTATTACCGGAATTGTTTTCGGCGTTTGTTTTTTTTTTGGCGAAAATTTTTTTGTACGATAGCAATTTTTATAGTTTTGAAATAAATTTGGGAATAATCGAAATTAATTGCGAAATCCAGCAAAAATCATCCATAAAATAAAAATAATTTTCGAGAAGAAAATCACAATTTCAAGTAAAAGTAGAGCAACTATCCTATGTATTTTGTAATTTTATACTTGTAAAATCATAATCTCTCCACTATAATGGTTATTAGATTTGCATAATTTTCTTTTAAATTTTGACAACTCTTGTAAATACTGATTGATTTTTTCGTTTTCTATGGCTTATCAATCATTTTTGGTGATCCATCTGAACATCGATCGCTGACGTTTCGGCCGATCTGTCCAGGTTAGGTGTCCCTATATTCACACTTATCCATGGAGTAGCAGTTCCCGATGCTTCGCGTACGGTCGAACGCACCCATCAGACTATGGAAATACAACTGGGTTTATTCAGGTACGACCTGGCTTCTCTGTCACGCTAGTGTAGATCATTTGCAGGTTATTTAAAGCCAGGAAATATTTTAAACTCAAAGAATTTTTGGAGATAATAGCGATTTAGTGATACAAGTCTTACCAATTAACTCGTAGCTACGGGAAAAGAGGTGGATTCATACCTTTTCCAACTGCATTTTGCATAGGGGAATAAAACGAACCCAATGAGAACTGGAACTTGGCTCTCCCATCAACAAATCCAAGCCATTATCCATTACACCACCCGCACATCCAAGCTTATAGTACCTGGTATTTCCCAAAGTTTGTTAAATATTATGAACTCTTATTTTTATATATCCTAGCGACATGTTTGTGGCATTACGTTTAAACCTGACAGTAGTAATAAAAAGTGAGGTGTCTCAGATATAAGATATTACGTGTTATCCGATTAATATATATATATATATATATATATATATATATATATATATATATATATATATATATATATAGCGGCTTGTATTGAGGAATCGCAGAGCCGAGTTCGAATTCCAGTCTAATCCATGACATTCACTTACGTGCTAATACTCTTGGGAAAGGTATGAATCCTCTCCTTCTACTTCCAGCTATGGGTAAAATAGCAGGACAGACTGGGTTCTATAGCCTTGGATGGCAACTGGTCTAGGAGAAGGACAACTCTAAATTCAAAACCTGCGGAGGGTCGTTTGGGAACCTTGTGGCATTTGGTGCACCAGGTCTCTGTATTCGTCCCTTCAAAAAGTGTGGATGGTCCTGCACGAAGCCTTCACCACTATAATCAAATCTCATGTGCCGGTGTATATATATGGTGAACTACTGTTTGGGGCAACGTTAGACAAAGTATCCAGTGAGATTGCTGTCATTTTCAATTTCTTGTCTAAGGGTCGCCAATGTCGTCGGTTTTCTGCGATAGACAGCATCCTTTAGGACTTGTTGCTACAGCCTTGAGGGCAATGCCATCTGTCGAAAAAATATTGTGCATTAAACAGGGTTATCGCAATTTGATAAAACTACGGGTGGACTTTTTATATACAGGATTAATATATATATATATATATATATATATATATATATATATATATATATATATATATATATATGTCTCATATCGAGAATATTCCACATTGAACATGAAGAAAAAATTAATTATTTTTAATAATATGTAAAAATCTCCACTTTCACCTGAAGACGGTTGCGAGACCAGACCAGAAACACGTGTCGTGAAATCATGTAAAAACAAAGTATAATATTTTTTCTCAATAAATCCACATTACAACCAAAAACGTTTGCGGCACCCTCTTCTTTTTTTTAATATATATATATATATATATATATATATATATATATATATATATATAACGAATAAAATGTAATACTCACTTATCATTCCAAGCGTCAGAGAATGAGAACTTGGGGAGTAGAGTTCGAATGGTACTCGAGGTTTGTTACATTCAGGTACGCGAAAGAAATACCATTGGGAAGGATATGGGTTAAATAGTAGAACTTGTATCTGGAAAAATAAGTGTAAGGGGCACTTCGACGTGGTGTAATGGTTATTAAGCTTTTCTCGCTAGATCAATTACAACTTGACAGTGAGTTCGATCATTACTGGGTGCTCCCTACTTTCGGCCTTGTGCCACATCCAAGTTACACTTAGAAAATCATTTTGGGCACCTCGGAGTGGTGTAATGGTTAGCAAGCTTGTCTCGTTAGAACAGTTACAACGGAGTAGTGAGTTCGATCCTCACTGGGTGCCCCATTCTTTCGGCCTTGTGCCACATCTAATTTGTGCTTGGAAAATCACTATGTAAGATATATTAGCGCAGACACACTCCACAATTCTTCGCGCATGCACGCCACGCGCGAGCGCACACACACACACGCACACACACAAAAAAAATAAAACAAATGCAAAACACGCATGCGTAGTGGAATCGGTGAGCCGAGTTCAACTTCTGTGCTATTATGTTGCGCTTACTTTCGCCATAATATCCTTGGGAAAGGCAGAAACCCATTTTTCTTATCTATAGATTAAATAGAAGGGTAGTGTAGGCGTACATAATATATTTTGCATATCTTATTTGAGAAAAGGTCTGCTAGAATGGAATCTATGTCATTGAAATTGGTACCCCAAAACGGAACTTACTTATATTCCGACTTAATAATGTATTGATTCAACTCAAATAAGTGAATGCTATAAGTTTGAAAAAAAAAAAAATTGTTTCCTGGAGAAAACAGTTTTTAAAAAAAGTTCAACCATCCATGAGATATTTTTGACGACAACAACACTGATCACAATGATGCGATCGACAGATGTAATGACGTCAGTGCTTATTATCAAGAATGGTCAAGAGACAAACACTCCTCCAAGGAACGCGGAAAGAAACATGGAGACGTGAGAAGTGGCCACCATTTAAATGATATTCTCTCCAGTGCCGGCCTGTCTGGGTGATAGGAATTCATAATATCGATGTGATCGAATATTGATCTTGAGACAGCTGCTAAATATTTCACATCACTTTGAAAATAAGAAACAAAACAAACATTTGGAATCTAAAGAAAAAAAAGTTTTCAATACGTAGACGGATGTTGTCCAAGTATCATTATTATGAAATCTATCTATCTATCTATCTATCTATCTATCTATCTATCTATCTATCTATCTATCTATCTAAGACTATGACATATCTAGATCAGTCTATTCATATCAGAATCTATTCATATCTATCTATCTATCTATCTATCTATCTATCTATCTATCTATCTATCTATCTATCTATCTATCTAAGACTATGACATATCTAGATCAGTCTATTCATATCAGAGTCTATTCATATCTATCTATCTATCTATCTATCTATCTATCTATCTATCTATCTATCTATCTAAGACTATGACATATCTAGATTAGTCTATTCATATCAGAGTCTATTCATATCTATCTATCTATCTATCTATCTATCTATCTATCTATCTATCTATCTATCTATCTAAGACTACTCATATCTAGCTCAGTCTATTCATATCTATCTATCTATCTATCTATCTATCTATCTATCTATCTATCTATCTAAGACAGTCTATTCATATCTATATCTATCAGTCTATTCATATCTATCTATCTATCTATCTATCTATCTATCTATCTAAGATTATTCATATCTAGCTCAGTCTATCCATATCTGTCTATCTATCTACACCTGATCATATCAGTCTGAATTAGTTAATATCTATCTATCTATCTATCTATCTATCTATCTATCTATCTATCTATCTATCTATCTGAGTCTATTCATATCTATCTGAGTCTATTCATATCTGAGTCTTATCATATCTTAGTCTATTCATATCTATCTATCTATCTATCTATCTATCTATCTATCTATCTATCTATCTATCTTCGTCGAGTTAAAACCTTACCAGCGCACGTTCTTTTTTTTACAAATATATACGTTTACCCAAGACACATTACTGCCCCTACGACCCTAATGGGCAATTTAAATAGGACGAAACTTTTATAGAAAAGGCAGAGGGAAGCTATATTACGGTGGTAGGAAAGTTACTGAAGGAGATATGCCAGGTCAGGACCAATAACATTGCGGATTCTTCTTTGGATTTTTAAAAGATTTTATAAAGAGTCTTTAAATATATAGCCGGGCACTATACCATATATGGCAGCAATATTATGGCTATAACTCTGCCATAACTCGACAGACTTATAGATATTTAAGATAGATTCTGAGAGAAAATTGTCTGGCACGAAACAGTGAATCAACTTTTCTAACAGCAGGCTTAGGTATTATTTCAATGTTTCAATATAATTTTTCCATTTCCTGTCAACAGAGAATGTTAGCTCAAGAAAGCGCAACGCGTCACTCTGCGGGTGTTTAGCATCAACCATATTGATGCTAGGTAGATAGGGGTCAATCTGGTGATTAATAAAGAGCAGTTTCGTTTTAATGAAAATTAGGCATTAGAGCCAATAAACCCAAATAAATGCGGAGAATTTTTCATTGAAACACTAAGTAGGAAGCAAGAATTCTATGTTCCTGATGACAACAGCTGGTTCTTGGGTTCTGTAAAACATACATTCGATCGAGTAAAATCAAAATAGAAGAAGCGAAAAAACGATCCACGCATTAAGTAGAAAAATTAGATAGAAAATATATTTAAATATAAAGCTTACTGGACAAGAGAAAACATGAAAATACGTACGTGAGCTTACTGAAGACGAGAACGCAAAATTACCAAACCATAAAATTAAATTTCCATGTAGAGAGTATCAAGGATACTTATAGCGTATAGACTATTTCATTTTGTTTGGGTTGCTTTACGACATATCAACCTTAATGGATTATTTAATGCTGACAAGATTTTTATTGCTGGTAATATTTAAAAAAATATATATATTTCTGGTAATATTTTTTTAAAAAATGTATTGTTGGTAAATTTCTGGTAATATTTTTTCTTCAAAAATGTATTGCTGGTAATAATATTTCCTTCAAAAAATTTATTGCTGGTATTAAAACCTATTTTTACACTTTTAAAACTCCAATTTATGATAAAATAAAATTTGTGAGGTAATTCTTTTGGAGTTAGGAATGACATATGCCTTAAGGAACTTCACTGGGGAAACTTCGGTATGTTTTTATGGGAAAAGGGTATGGTGAAAGGCAAAATGTTGGTTCTTATTAAATCTGAGTACCGAAATATCTCAAAATCAGTTTATTAATTGCAAAAACGTTTTCACGTAACTTTTATATTTCTAATTTTTTTTTTTACATTTTCATAACGTATTGACTCCAGTTTGGGAGTTAACTATTTGCCCATAATTGGGGCCCTAACAGGTGCTACTACCCAGCGGAAGGGTGGACTTGAGAACACCAGCAATTAAGAGGTGGTTCCACGCTTCTCAAAAACCTCCAGATGAGAGGCCTTGCTGTCGGACGTACATTATTGTCTTACCCAGGACGCCGGATATAGTCTTATCCAGTATGAAGACTATTTCAGTCCAAGGTAACAAAAGATAAATAAACGGTTTCAGTTTGATAGAAAATATGGGAATTGGACCACTCATCAGTAAGGAAAAAGTTCTTTAGACAGATGATTCAAAATTCGAAATGTTCAACCTGCATTCCAATAGTAACATCCAAACGAATGTAGGTAGAATTTTTATAAATTTTATACACAAACACTTTGGTCATTCTCTACCGCTGAAAAAAGATTTAAAAATAAAGTAAGCTACAAAAAATATTGATAATTATATATCGCAACATAACAATATATATTTATTCCGTATACACCAATCCTATACTCACACACACACACACATATATATATATATAATATATTATATTATATTATGAAAGTCCGGCAAATATTTTAAAACATTTTATGTTTATACATCCTTTTTTTTTAAAGATACAAATATTTAAGTAAATGCTCTGTTTTATAATAAACAGTGTTAACAACATTTAATGGCCTGAATGTCCGAGAAATTTTCATAGAAAATATGCGCCCTCCGACAGGAATCGAACCTGTATCCTATACAGAACCGTCATATAGCCTGACGTGCCTTTAACCGATTTGGCCACAGAGGAGCGTTCGGTTACCAAGGCCGATTCTACTGTCTTTAAACTACAATCTTTCATGATTCTCTCACGTACATTCATATCTGTTCATAAACAATGACGTCACACTTTATGAAATGGACAAAGTCCGACAATTATTTTAAGACATTTTTATGTTTATACATTCTTTTTTTTATAGATACAAATATTTAAGCAAATGCTCTGTATTTATAACATTTACCGGTCTGAATGTCCGAGAAAATACTGTTTATTATAAAACAGAGCATTTACTTAAATATTTGTATCTATAAAAAAAAGAATGTGTAAACATAAAAATGTCTTAAAATAGCAATATATATTGAGCAAGTGCACAAACAAAATACTAAATAATAATCCTGCTAAAAGTCAATGCCACTGCCGTAAAAAACGTGACCTGCCCACTAAATGGTCAATGAATGAATGAAGACTTAATCTACGGAGATAGGATCAATTTCGATGATGATATTAAATATTACTTTGGATCCACGAAGAACAGCTGGAAATTGCGTTTTTACCATCAAAAATATTAAATACAAAAACAATAATAACTACAAAAACTGCACAACACTCTCAAAGTATGTTTGGAAATTAAAAACAACTATAAGAACCGATCTATTAGCTGGGAGATAATCGCGAAAGCTAAACCATACTATGAAAAGGGGGACAGATGTAACTTGTGTTTGTTGGAGAAGCTTATTATATTAAAAAACTTAAATAGCCCAAACTTGCTGAACACGAGAAATGAATTGATTGCTACATGCATCCATAAAAATAAACACCTGATCAAGAACATTGACCCAGATTAAAATAAATTACTAAATAGATTTCACGAATATTAATATAATATGTAACAGCTATAAATACTCAGAGAACACATCATTAATAGCATTTTTATATATCTATACATATATATAATTCCATGTTATAGATCGTACCCGATTAATTGTTGACGTGTGTATATGTAATTTCTCCTTTCTAAGTGTAAGGCTATGTTCCAAACACATTAGATATAAAGTCTTAACCCATTATTATATTAACATCATGAGTGCTAAGTTTATTCCATAAGACAGTAAAATATTTTATAACGACAGTATTTTATGCAAAAAGAGAGTTATCCCCCTTGAAACAGAGCGTGTTTACATAAATTCAAATTTAAAAAAATTATTTCAAATAATTATCATTTTCATTTTTTTAATTCTTCGTCTTTCGAACTTAAGAATTAAAACGATATAAATTATAAATAATTAATTATAATATTTTAGGCAACAATAATAAAATGAGCAAGTCTTAAAAAATTTATATCATCAACAGAAGAACGCAAATTTCAAAACGCTGTAACGTTCAGTGAGTATTGCGTAGACGAGGATTGCACGTTTGCATGAAACCCCGCGCTATCAACGTTGTATATTATGTTTATTTTTATATATATATATATATATATATATATATATATATATATATATATATATATATATATATATATATATATATATGCGGTTTGGACATAAGAATTAAGAATCAACAGAGCTTGATGACTGTCAATTTCACGCTTTAATGAGAACTTAAGACCGATATATATATATATATATATATATATATATATATATATATATATATATATATATATATATATATATATATTCCAGCTTGATGTCTAGTCACATTGAAGAGCTATGAAACAGCCAAAACAGTCAGTCTGTGGATCATAATATATATATATATATATATATATATATATATATATATATATATATAGATTAAAATTTGCTGTTTATTGAGGAAGAAAGCTCAGTATTGCAGAGAGAGAGTACTTATAGATAAAATAATGTGGACATAGGACTCAATACAGATCGGTAGCTGTCAGTTTCATGTATCAAGCGATCTTCAGACCAAGTGTAACTACGCCGTGCTCTCTATATGGAAGAAGATGCAAAGATGGAAAGAAAAACAGAAGCAAAATGAAAGGAAAAAAGGAAATGAAAGAAAGTAACAATGAGACAATACCGAACTAGTTTTTTAGGTGTTGTTTCCGACGCGCTGAGTAATGATCGAACACATTCGTGACAGTAGCTTGCGGTACGCGCTATTTAGATATCTCGTCTAGCTGAGAATTACAATAGTGAAGAATAGGATCGAACTCCTAAATTAAGGCACGTTTTATTCGTTTCATTGCAATGTATTTCGTCAATCGGCCGAGGATTTAGTTTCGAGGTGTACTTTTAAACATGATGTTTTAAATATGATGTTTCCGATCGCGCACAGTTAAGTTCATATGAACAAATATGTGCGCATGCGCGTTGAAATTTTTGGTCTGTTGTGTCTTTTTTGTATTTTACTCGGAGTATGTGTATGAAATGACTTGTTTAATGCGTACGAAAGAAAAAACACACGCACGGATAGACTCGAAGTAAACCGCACACAAATACAGGATTTTTCTTTTTTTTTATGTGCGCTTTATTTAAAAGAAATGACAATGCATAATGAAAGTTTCGCTCCAGTTTCCTGTTTCCAATTTCCGGTGGACGTCATTTATCCGGGTCCTTTGACGATGTTAAAGGATACAGAAACGGAGCAACTTGGCCGTGAGGAGAAATAAAAGCCCGCCAAATGAACATGATATCTTGTTTATTGGTTAAAACACACACAAAAAATTTTGTGTTGGCCAATCACGTTTCTTTTTCATTATTCTTCTCTTTCTCTCTCCCTATTCTCTCTTTATGTTTCCATACTTCCTCTTTATGCTTTCCTATTCTATTTCTCTCTGTTTTGCCAGTCTGACTTCCATAAACAATGATTATAACTGTTATAATATCTAGTGTATTACCCGTCAAAAATGACAAATTATTAAAGCTTACTTCATTTGCATTTTTCATTTGAATATTTAACAATTCTAAATTATATTTTATTTTTAT